CCCACTGCCCTCTGCCAGGGCTCCCTGTTGTCCCTATCTGTCTGGGGGTCCAGCCATACCGGGCCCCAGCTCGGTGCGCTGTCACCACTGACAGGGCTGGCTGAGGCAGTGGCTCTGTAGGGGCGGGGGGTCCTCACTGCCGCAGGCTCGCCCCCCCCAGACACGCTGGAGTTGCTGCGTGGCGGGGTTCAAACACGGTCATGTTACACTGAAACGCTGCCGAGTCCAGGGCACACCCCAGGGGTAACACGCAAGAGCTAAAGGAAGGCTAATGGGGGAGGAGCCAGGAATCCTGGGTTCGATCCCTAGCTCTGTGCTTCAGGGGCCCCCGGCCCAGACAAGGGAAATGACTCTGCCGGGTGCCCAGGAGGCGCGGGGAAAGAATCCCTCCCAAGCTACCCCCAGCCCCAGCATCTCCATCCCACCCCCTTCCCCTCGGGGGCGCCGGCTCCCATCTGGCCCCAGGGCAGGGACTGGTTGGCTCAGGGGGGTGGGAATGGGGCCTGGTGCCAGCTTGGATCCGGCCCCAGGGCAGGGAACTGGCCCGCTCGGCAGGGGGGAAACTAACCACTCACCATGTTTTCATCCTTTGTACAAATGTCCTTTTATTTTATTTTTTCTGTTTTTTTCCCATTTTTATTAGAATTTTTTTTTTTATCTAAAATGAACAAAAAAGGCAAAAACTGGAAAAAATAATTAAACCGAAGAAATAAAAATGTCAAGAGGAGACAGATCAGGAGGGGCTCCTCCCCAGAGAGAAGTGGGGGTGTAGGAATAGCGCCCCCTCCCCAAAGAGACAGGGTGGGTGGAGAAACTGGTCCCTCAGGAGAGATGAAGTTGTGGGGTGACCCACAGGATAGTGGGCTGTCCGATTGACTTGGGGTCGCCCCCGATATGTGGGATCCAGTTTGGGAGGGCAGATGCCCTGCCGCAGCCGGGCCAGGGTTGCAGGGGGGAGGGAACCTGATATTAAATAAGAGGCGGGGGACTGAAGCCTGGCAAAATCAGCTGTCGATTTGGGGGTGCTGCAGAGGGGGAGGGTAACACCGAGACGGGGGCAGGGAGGTAACAGTCAGTTCAACCCAGAGCAGGGCTGGATTCTGGGTGGCCCCACATTCGACACCCCAGGGAACGAGCGGGGCCTGGATCAGCCCCCCAAGTGCCCCCAAATCCCCCAGCAGGGGAAGCCAGGGGCTGCCTCAGCCCAGGTTGGGGGGGGGTGTCACAGGAAGTAGTCAGCAACGGGCTTCTTGGAGGGGATCCCCCGGGTTTCCTGGGGGGCAGCTTCAAAGATGATAAATTCCTTCTGCAGGTGCTCGTCCAGCTCCAGGATGGCGGCCACGTTCCCGCACCTGGGGGTGTTGCACACTGCTCAGCCGGCGCCCCTCACTCCCAACCCGCAGCCCCCTGCCAGCCCAGCCCAGCCGGCGCCCCTCACTCCCAACCCGCAGCCCCGCTAGCCCAGCCCAGCCGGCGCCCCTCACTCCCGACCCGCAGCCCCTGCTAGCCCAGCCCAGCCGGCGCCCCTCACTCCCGACCCGCAGCCCCTGCTAGCCCAGCCCAGCCCACCCCTGCAGCCCCCATGCGCTCACCGGTAGCAGTAGTTGGGGGCCGACCAGACGGTGAGCACGGTCTCATTGAAGTGCCACTTGTAGCCCTCCATGACCAGCTGGTGGGCGCGGCAGATCATGTCTATGTCGTTGGAGGCATTGAACTGGGCCACCACGTCGCTGCCAAAGAGGTACCCGGCGCCCCGCGGGCTCACGCCCCAGCCCGTCGTGTCTGGGGGGGTAGGGGGCAGCGGGGTGAGAGACCAGCCCTGCCCCCCTGTGACCTGCCTCCGTCAGCCCCGTCCGCACATAACCACCGCACCTGCACCCACCCCTCTGCGCATCCCTGGACCAGTTGCAATACCTATAACCCACCCGCTCTCCCGCCATGCAGCCCTCTCCCCGCCATACCTTCGGGGTCAGACCAGAGCAAGTCACACATGGGCCCATCGTGCGGCACCTCCTGCTTGCGATCGATCGTGCGGATCTGATCCAGCGTCTGGATGGACGGGGAGAGGCCCCCGTGGACACAGAAGATCTGCAAGGGGGGGGGGAAAGAGGTTAGGAACCCAGGAGTCCTGGCCCCCGCCCCCCAGCCCAGCCCGGCCCGGCGCACCTTGCCATCGATGATGGCCGACAGGCTGAGGTAGTCAAAGATCTCGGTGCAGTATCGCCACACGGTGACGGAGCCGTACTTGCGCAGACACTCGTCGTAGAAGCCATACACCTGCGTGATCTGCCGGCTCTCGTGATTGCCCCTGATGAGCGTGATGCGGTCGGGGTAGCGCACCTGGGGGAGGGGAGGGGTTAGCAGGGGCCCAGAGACGCGGCTAGTGGGGGCTGGGCAGTGGCAGAGAGGGTCATGGGGCAGTTGGGGGGGGTCTCACCTTGAGCGCCAGCAGCAGCAGGAAGGTCTCCACGCTGTAGAAGCCCCGATCCACGAAGTCGCCCATAAAGAGGTAATTGGTCTCTGGGAC